TTAAGATGATTGTGAAATAAACAAATGTCTTACGCCCACCAGACATGCATTAATTAGATCAAATAATAATAATAATAATATTGTGAAATATTATTACAAAAGGTATTTTAGAGTGTTATTTATTCCTGTAATGCAATGTTGCATTTTAAGTATTGTTACTCTAAGTCTTCAGTGTCACATGATCCTTCAGAAATGATTATGATATGTCTGATTATTATCAATGTTGAAAACAGTTGTGCTGCTTAATATATTTCTGTAAAATGTGATGACTTTTTTTCAGGATTCTATCATGAATATACTAGGGATGCACGAAATATCGGCCAGCATATCGGTATCGGCCGATATATGTTAATTTTTAATGTTATCGTTATCGGCCTGGTAAGAAAATGTGGCCGATAAATAATGTATTATTCCCTTCAGCTGAGACACTTGTTGAGCACTGTTTATGTTTTTGAATTTCTTGAAATATGATTGAAATCTCTTCAAAAATAGAAAATACGGTTCGGTACAACATGTGCCGTGCAAATCTGTCATATCGGCTATACAACACTATAATGAAAACATCATTATAATTGTGCGCTTGGGACATGGAATTAATTGTGAGACTTTTGTATTTGTTATCAGGCTAAAAATTTGGATTTAAGTTTATCGGCTGATATATCGGTTATCGGCTTTCAAATATAAAGAATTATCGGTTATCGGTATCGGCCAAAATTTTCATATCGCTGCATCCCTAGAATATACAGTTCAAAAGAACAGAATTTATTTGAAATATAATTTCTTTGTAACAAAGACTGTCAATTGCGTTTAACTTTTTGAACAAAACTATTAATAAACTTGAAAAAAAACATTTTTAATTTTTTTTTAAATAAATATAAACAGGCTGAATAAAAAAAAAAAAAAACTGAAACTTGTTTTATTTCAGATAGTTGCCAAGGCAACAAGTCATTTATTCATCCTTGTGTCAAAATCTTATTGAGTGAACTATCCCTTTTAGTAAAATACTCAACCTAAATTAACTAAAATTAAAAGCTAAAGCTTAATAAAAACTATATAGACATTTTTAAAAAGACAACAAAAAAACTTTTATGTGCTACTAAAATAACACTTGTTTTAATGCCTCTATTTTTCTCTCAGGATGACAGGTATTTTTTGAGCGGTTCTTTGGATGGAAAGTTGCGGTTATGGAATATTCCAGATAAGAAAGTGGCACTGTGGAACGAGGTAGACGGACAGACGCGTCTGATAACAGCAGCTAACTTCTGCCAGAATGGAAAGTATGCGGTTATTGGCACCTACGATGGGCGCTGCATTTTCTATGACACAGAGGTGAGTGTTTGTTCTTGTGAGCTTTAAGATGGGAACAATGATTTTCACTTAAAATGGAGGAACGTCATGCACACTGCATTGATTTATAAATCAAACTACTAGTGGATTATAAATCACTCATTTCTTCTTTCATCGTGTTCGGCTCAGCGCCTTAAGTATCACACGCAAATCCATGTTCGCTCCACGAGAGGCAGGAATCGCGTGGGCCGCAAAATCACCGGTATTGAGCCGCTGCCAGGAGAGAACAAGGTGTGTTCATGAAAGGGGAAAGCCTAAAAATAGAAAAAGACTGCAGTTAGATCTGAAACTTTACTTTTATGTTCACTATAACATTTGTCATTCCTACCAAGGTGACGTTCCATCATTCATTCTCAGTTAATGGCAATCTCCTTTTCCTATGCAGATCTTGGTGACGTCAAACGACTCTCGCATTCGCCTGTATGACCTCAGAGATTTGTCTCTGTCTATGAAGTACAAAGGCTATGTGAACAGCAGCAGTCAGATCAAAGCCAGCTTCAGGTGAGAGAAGCAACCCTGAAAGACCACCTGCCGCGATATGTCCATCTCTGATCTTACACTTCTACTGAAAGTTCTGAGTGAATCTCAAGGATGTCCTCTTGTTCTTGTAGTCACGACTACTCTTTCATTGTGAGTGGCTCAGAGGACAAGTATGTGTACATCTGGAGCACATACCACGATCTGAGCAAGTTCACCTCTGTGCGGAGGGACCGCAATGACTTCTGGGAAGGGATCAAAGGTAATTTGATGGAATCATATTATGAACCATGTACTGAGAGCAGCAGTTACACAGATATTTGGCTGTCTGTCAAGTAAACAATAGTGAATTTCTGGAATGCTGGACTGACTGTGGGTTACACAGCCAGCGCGTAGACCTAATAAGAATGATTGTTAGGAATCCACGATTAATGGAAATACAACAAAAAAACAAAATACAAATACAAAAAAATGTGATATGGCTTAGTGCGATTATCAAATCGTAAAGATTGCAATTCAATTAATAAATGCGCAGTGAGTTTCAGAGTAAAGCACGTTCCAAACCTGTATGAATTTCTTTCTTCTGCTGAACACTAAAGAAGAATGTAACTAAACAGTTGATGACCAATTGACTGCCATAATATGTAATTTTTAATATACATTAATAATTTGACCACATTTACTTGTGTTAACGCAAGATCTGTTTGGTCAAAATTCGAAAATTTGCTAACCCACTGTCCTTAGGGTTAGGCGGTCCTTGTCTGACGTCATATATATATTCCATTTTACAACACTGAAGTAAAGTCGTGACTGAAGTGAAAAATGAAATAATTATTATATTATTTTTCTTAAATTTTCTACTTTTTTATAGTGAAATAAGTAATATTTCTTCATTTTAATTTTTTATTTAGTAGTAAGAATAATAATAATTATTATTATTAACATATTGGTATATCACAAATATTTTGGCCAAATTGTGCAGCCCACATCATCAAACATTGGGGGATTTCCCCCCAAAATGTGAAGCCATAACAAGCATTAATGTCTGTAATTTTTTTAATTTATTACTTCCGCCTTATTTGTAGCTCATAATGCCGTGGTGACTTCGGCCATTTTTGCTCCGCATCCGGATCTCATCGTGCCTCCGGAAGCAGGGACAGAGAAGGCAGACTCCGACTGTAAGAGTGACAGCACAGATGACTCTGAGACCATCCCTTCAGGTACTGACTGTAACTATGGCAACTAGCATTGTGAAATCACAACAGTGCACTGTATGTGGTTGTAGGTAACAAAAGTAACCCACTCTTTTTCTTTTCTTGTCCTCAGGGGCATTGAAAACAGACCACACTGAAGTTTTGCTCTCTGCGGATTTCACCGGAGCCATTAAAGTTTTTGTCAATGTTAAGAAATACTGAGTGCTTGTGCTGAATATGACACCCAGCAAGTATATGTAATAATGTAAAAGCTTCTCTCAGCTTTCGGACAGAGCTAAAGCAAAATCAGTGCCACTTTACATCTGACTGAGCCCCCTTCATTGACCAATCAGCTGCTGGAGAGTGCTCTGAGAGGCGATGATTATAAGCCCGTCTTATTCACAGAGAACAGGGACCCAGGAAGTTGGAAGGTGGGGACAGTGGAGGAGCAGGGACAGACGTTACAGCTCGACGCATTTTTCTTCTTTTCTTTTTAATTCGTTTTTGTTTGGAGAGATATTGTGGTATTGTTACTGTACATGCACAAAAGGGCTTTAAATTGCACAGATCAGTGATGCCATTTTAATGGATGAGTGAAACTGCAAGCCTGTATGGAGACTGAATGGATATGAGAGACACAGGTGGTCAGCCCTTCAAACACACACACACACAAACTAATTTCCTCATCCACACTTTAACCCCAAATTCAAGGTTTCTGGAAAACACCATGAGCACTAACTAAACTCATTTCAATTTAAAAATCTTGGTCAGTGTTATTTTGTTGTAAAAATAATTGAACTTGATTTTGATTTTTTTATGTATGACTCCAGAAATAAATAAAAAAATGTATTAAGATATTCCCTTGTGTTTTGATCTATGTATGCAGTAAAAATGTTTTTCACCGAGATATACTAGCTTAGAGCAAAGCCAATATAAGACAATTGCGTGTGCGTGCAGTGTTGGGGAGAGTTACTTTGAAAAGTAATGCATAACAATAGTGTTACTCCCTTAAAAAGTGACTTAATTTTTAATGAATTTAAACAAAAAAAAACTTTATATTTATATTATTTATATATACTTTATATTTATAATATTTTTGGGCAAATGTAAAGGCGCACATTAAAATTGAAATAAGGCTGAAGGAAATGCAAATTCACATGTGTACAGTAGGGGGTGTGCTGTCATTCTGGATAGCAGAAGATTATGATGCAGGAAAAGAAAGTTTGACATTTACTAATTAAAAGTTGGCTCTGATGGTCATTAAGATGATGGGACGCAATGAAAACCCTGTTGTCGTTGTTGTTTCTCCTTTGGTCGCATTAATGGAGGACAAAGTAAAATAATCAACACTCCATAATCAACACTCACTACTTCCAGCACGCGTGCAGTTGAGTTCTGTTGACAGGGTTCTCAACATACGTCACTTACTGCGTTGCTCTTATTGGTTGTAGTAGGTCTATACAATTCTATGATACAATTGAGTGCAGAGGGTTTTTTCCCCTGGTTTGGTTAAGACCTATTTTTTACAGTCTATGGTTAAGACACACCTCATAATCAAAGCCCCATGGAGCAGTATCACATTCTGACTAGAATATGAGTATGACAAAGTCAGGCTAGTTACCTGAAAAAAAAGTTATCTGATTACATAACTCGTTTTGCTTTTCCCCAACATTGTGTGTATAAGTGCTGTCAAATAGATTAATCGAGTGTACTTACACCTAACATAAAACTTGTTTATATAAAATGTGTTATATATATATATATATATATATATATATATATATATATCCACACACACTCTTATATTTGATTTCACCAACGATACACACTTTTTAAGATCTTACGAAGGAAATATTTTTCTAGCAGCTAGTTTTATTCTGAGCTTCCTACGGTCACCATTTATAGAATTACAATAAAGCATTTATACATGTTTATAAACAATTGCTTTATGAAACCATCTTATATAATGTTCACACCAACATCTGTCCTTCCACAATTGTTTTTATTGTAAAGTTTAGAGGCGGAGGGGTCCATCTTGCAGCATTTTTAAACACTGGATTTAAAACAAAACACAAATAAAACGGTTTACAAAACAAAAATAAGATCTGTACAAGTTCACACTTCATCTTAGAAAAATTCAGCCAAGCCCAGGGTTGTGATTGCAGCAGCCACACAGAGGACCGTTCTGGGAACAAATGAACAGCTGTAAATCAGCCAGTCTGTAATCAAAGCATTGTGGAATAGAAACACGTTGTTGATGTGCGTGACGAGAGCAGTCCATTCATAGGCTCCGTCAGGCTGTGTTAAGAGATGACTGCAGCGGTCACAGGGTTCAAAGGGTCAGAGTTCAGTGTTTGCTCTTCTTGGTCTTTTTGTGCGAGCGATGTGGTGATCGGGATGAAGACCTCCAGGATTTGTGCTGTGGTGATGGTGATTGAGAGCGTTTTGACTTTCGTGGTGATCGAGATTTTGTTCTTCATGAAAGACAAGGAGTGAGGATAAATTAAGGGGCAAGTGCTAAGTTAAATCCACATATACTTATGGTAACATGACGTAAACAAGCACGACACAAAAGGACAGACAAATAAATCATAGTTTGTATTCTCACTAATTGTGACCACAATCATCAGCTCATTTCTGTGTAGCGCTGCTTCAAAATCCCACTTCACAGAAATGAAACACACTACTGTTCAAAGTTTGGGGTTCTAATACTTTTATTCTTCAAGTTTAGGGTTCTAATACTCTAAATACTTTTATTCAGCAAAACTTACATCTTACATTTTTCATCACATAATCCTGAAAAAGTATCAAAGTTGCAAAAAAAACATTGAGCACAACTTTTTTCAAGATCGATATGTTTTTGAGCCCCAAATCCGCATATTAGAATGATTTCAATATAATCACTTGACACTGAAGACTAGAGTAATGATGCTGAAAATACAGCTTTGGCATCAAAAACAAAGGCATCAATAATTTTCAAATAGTAAACAGTTGTTTTAAAATGTAATAATAGCCTTGGTGAGCATAAAAGTCTTAACAATGTCTTTCAAAAACATAAAAAAAAAAAAATAAAAAAATAAAAAAATCAAACCAACCCCAAACTTTTGAACAGTAGCGTATGTTCTGATTGGCTGTAAATGTTTTTCGATCTTAGACAGACAAATTACTTGTAGCTAGAAACTTGATGCATCATGCCTGGTTTGAACACTGGGAATGACTTTTTTTTTTTAAATAATAAGGGGAATAATCATAATTAACAATTAGACACAAAGTGTATGTGTGTGAGTGTGTGTGAGAGAAAGATGAGTGTGCATACCTCTCTCTCCTCTCTTCTTTGTCTCGACTCTTTCCTCGACTCCTTTCTCTGTCCTCACTTTTTCTACTTTTCTCTTTGTCCCGTGTTTTACTTCGGTCTTCTTTATCTCTCCGCTCATCTTTTTTGGACCGATCTTTTGATTTCTGTGAATATTTGTCTTTCTTTTCCTGGTCGTCCTTGTCAAACTCCTAAAGAAGAAGAGATGGAAAAAAGGAAAGAAATATTGAGTTTAACTCTTTTGCTTTAAATGATAAATCGGTAAAGTTTTTTACCTTGGCTTGAAATATAAGTTTCAAAATAATTCTGATGGTACACTGACTTCTAATAAGCCAAATTACTTGTTTTCCACACACTCCAAATGTCTGTCCTGGGAGTATGCCATTTTGGTCAGCGGGTACAAAACATCACACAATACATTATTATCAGTACAGACACATTGAACTCATTCACTATTTTCAATGTTGAGCTTATTCTAGGTTAAATTTTAAATCAGTTTTATTTATGAAAGATAGTGTTAATTTCATTAACGAAAAATGTTCGTTGACTACCTTTTTTCCATAACTAAGGCGAGATAATGAAAAGACAACATGGACGTGATTAAATAATTACTGTGACTATATCAACATGCAATATCGTTGACAAGATACAAAATGTCACTGACTGTTTTTAACAAGCCTCTACAAGAGAGGTCGGGAACCTATGGCTCGCGAGCCACACCTGGTCTCTCACCCTTAAAAAAAAATAAGACATCAATAGAGATCGGCTCTCTGCAGAAAAATCTGCCAGTTACAATTCCCTTGTAGTAACAGTCTACTGAAGTTGATGAAAATGTATGATAATTATATTCATGTTGTCCCAGCAAAAGTGCGTGTTCAGTGCTGGTCGTGCTCGCGAGTGTTACGAGTAATCAACTAACCACTTGTCTCTGTCATAACATACAGATCCTGCACTGGGATTCAAGCAGCTGCAGTTTGTTTAAGGTAGGCCTAATGGCGAAAAGCAGCCAAAATGTAAAAAAGGCTATAAACTTAGTTTTGCCAGAGACCCTTTATGACACATGATAAATGTGTAGCATTTTTGATAATCCACGCAGGATGCAGTTGATGCTTCTGTTTAAAGTTATAAAAATGAAAGAATGAGAAAAAAAGAGCAGGATGTGCTTTATAATAAATAAATATTAAAAGCGCGATGAGTCGCGAAAAAGAACGGAATTACTGGCAGGATGCGGTGCGCACAAAACGGAAAAGCAGAGCAGCCTTTGTTTTCGGTCGCGCACCTAAACGGCTTAATAAATACAGAAATATATCTAAATGCCAAGTCGAGTATTCACGTAAACACAGTAGATGTAAGTACAGTGCAAGTACTCTCTCTCATACGCAGACAGAGAGGATTTATGCTCATCAGTTGATAACTCAACCTCACAGTGAAAGCCCTTCACAATTGATATTAAGGCTTTGTTTGCTAAATATTTGTTTGTTTTTAGTTGTCTATGGACCTAATAATTAGCCCAATGCTGTTGAATTTTTACAAAAAAAAAAAACACTTTAATAATAATATTATACATTTCTTTTACTGTGGCTCTTTTGGAAAAATGCATTAACCAAAAATGAAAAAAATGGCTCTTTGGTCAAAAAAGGTTCCCGAACCCTGCTCTACAAGCTTTCAATCAGAGCTTTTCTCTTAAAAAGAAACAAATTCTGCCCAGTGTTTAACTTAATCTTTGCAATCTGGCAACCATGTACACAAGAAGTACAGATGATCTGAAAACACAGACAAACATGTAAGCTGGAGTTTTTTCAATCTCCATTTCAGATATTCTACTTAAAATTGTCATTCAGTCAGTCCCTCTTGTCACGAGCTGCTTGTGTTGTTTGTAGCGACTAAATCCGCTATCAAAAACTCCTCAGAGATGAACTGTAATAAATCCAAACATGGATTGCGATTGTGGTTGCGGAATAAATGCATTTACACAACCTCTGTGTGCCAGTCTTCTTTGCAGTTGTTTTAATTGAAAAACATGAATGTAATTTGGAATTATTATTAGGAATTTCACTGTTTTCATGTTGAGAAAAGTTTCTTGTTTTACCATTTTTCAGAGAGTGTGCTGGAGATTTATTAAGTTACAAACATGCTTGATATTTTGAGCCAATTCTAGAACACACATTGTTTTTATTTGTGAATGATGATTTGTTGCGATTTAAAAAAGTAGTCTATCGTAAAACTTCATATAATAGCCCGGGCTTTTATTTTCCCAAATCGTCGAACTGCACCGGCTTGTATTTGAGACAGGCGTCTATATGAGACCGGCCTTTATAATTTAGAGTTAAGATGTTGTTCATAGTCTCTAATCTCTAAAAATCTCAAAATGCTCCACGTGAAACTGCAACCTTTTACTATCGTGTCAATTGATTTGATTAAGGGAGAGAGAGCAAGACAGTGCTCATGTTGTTTGAAGACGTGAAAGTGTGCGGCCAGGGCGCTCTCTCTCTCTCTCTCTCTCTCTTTGCTCGTTATGCACCCTGTCAAGCGCAGCAGTCATTCTATTCTACATCACTCACCGATCAAAACAGGCTTTGGCGAGACAAAAATTTGCTTTGGCGGCCGCCAAAAAACAGACAATCTGACGGTTTTTAGAAGATTAACAACCCGAAATTAAAAAACAGACCCCGCCTCTATTTGAGACCGGCTTTTTTTTACCCAAACCTGCAGCCACAACAGGCGTGTAAAAGAGACAGGCGTCTATTTGGGACTCTGCTATTATTTGTTTTACCGTATTCCAACCTTTAAATGTGATATCATGTTTTGTACCATTATAGTATTGAATATTGAAAAATCAGCATCAGCACCACAATTGTCTATTTTTTTAACCCTATATTCCGTTGTTGCAGTTGATTATGTTTGAGAGTTGTGTGTACCTTCTGTAGCAGTCTGTTTCTGTAGTGTTGAACTTGCTGTTGTAGATTCATACTGGATTTCCTCTGTCGCTTACCCGACTCCAACTCATCCTGGAAATTCATCACCTTCACCTGCAATATACACACACTTTTACAGTGTCTGGGAACACAGTTAGCTTTAGAGCTATGTCCGTCTGTGAGTATGTGGGAGGGAGAGAGTGAGTGACTAACCTCCAATTCCCGGAGACGTGTCCTTTTGCTTTCAGACAGCTCAAAATTTTTCAGAGAACTCTTAAACTCTGCCCCCTCGTACCTGCTAGGGCTGTCAGCTTCATCACTGCTGATATCAGAATCGCCATTGTTCTCCTTTAGGCCACTGCATGAGAAAGAGAGGGCAGGAAACAATCAAGAGTGGCATATTCTCAAATATTTCCTCTTCATAAATCAATGTATATAGCCTAGATTTACTAAACACGTTTGCAAACGTGCATCCATATAAACAATTGAGAAAATGTTTAATAGATAGTTCACACAATTACGGTAATAAAAAAGCATTTGACTTGACTTCGTGAGGCTGTTGAAATGATCCAGTGATGTGAAAAAAAAAAAGATTCATCCACTAATCACAGAGAATAAGTCAAATTAATATCATCCGAACAGGCTCTTACCTTAAACTCATCTCAGTGTCTGAGTCATTCTTAGCTGAAAGAATGATAAGAACAGTTTAAAGGGGTGCAGCAGTTGATATTAGCCTGGATAGTCTGGAAAAAGCAGTTAATAAAAAAAATGGTGAAAAATGATGTATTACTCTGTGTTGTGAGTCTACCTGAGGATTCTGAATCCACTTTCTCCCATTTGGATAGTGCAACAGTGGGTAAACTCTTATCCGAGCCCTCGTCAACTGGATCAGACACAAAACAAGCACAGAAAGGAAATGAAGGTATCTTAAAAAAAATCAATGACACAACAAAAGCAATATGAATATTGTATATTTATGTTCAGATGAGGAAGTAGGCCATCAATAATAGAATAAATTATAATAATAAAATAGTTGCACTCACAATATTGTAATGAACAAGATAAACATCTAAAGACCACAGCGCCTGACTACCTACATGGCACACCATCAATATCATCTATTGAGTTTCCTAGAGGAACACCGTCAATGTCGTCAACTGGTACACCATCTATAGAGGATGGATCCCAGGTCATAGGTGACCCATCAAGGTCATCAAGGGGAGTACCATCAATTTCAACTTTGTCTAGAGGAATACCATCCAACGGCGCTCCATCCAGATCAGGAGATTCGGGCTAGTGAACAGAACATATTACACATACTTCACTATACAGATCATAGACAGTTTAATTATAGATTTGTTTTAATCTATTGGCCATATATCACCTCTGCTCTTTCAATGACTTCCTCTCCAGGTTTAATGAGTCCCAGGAATATATTCTGCAGTTGGATCAGGAAGGAGTCTGGATAAACTGCCCAGTCCTCCCATGCACGAAAACATCCCATGATCCTTTGCTGCAGAAAGAGTTAGATGTAAGAGAGCATTATAGTTAGGGAGTAGGATCACAGATCTCTGCAGGGAAAGAGCTTAAGACAGATAATGTGCAAGAACTGACTGTTCCCACCTTAAACTGCTCTGCCTGGAGTCGAGCCTGGATGTTCCGATACGCTTCACTGATGTCTCCAAATATCTGAGGCAGCTTTGTCTCAAAACTAATACAGAGTAAAAAGAAAACACTTTTCATTAGAGGCATCATTCAAGTTGCGAAGTAAATGAAGTAGCGACATACTTTTTATCCATATTGTGACGTACATTCAAGTGAAACAGAAAAAAAAAATTGTAGTTGGGATTTCAATTCACTGGATGTTGATTGGTTGGAGGGAGATCTGAATGCAAGTTTGCTGTTAATAACAAGAAAGGGGGAACCTAAGTTGACTAAATGTTTGGAGAAGTCCAGTATATGTGACCAAAATATGATATTTTGATTAAAAAAAAAAAAAAAGATTCAGGCATGGATGAATGGTTCGCAATAAGATCAATTACATGCATTCAGAAAATAGTTTGATTTTCCATTTAATGCCAACTTTAGGACACAAAAAACCTTGATCATGTCAATGTTGTAGGTCTAAAGCAATTTCAAAAATACAAAAAAAAAGCACAAAAACAATCAAGAAAACATAACATATCAAAAATTTGCATCACTGACTCACAATTTGCGGTAATATGATGCATTGGCCACTTTGGCACAGGAGTTGTAGAGGATGTCGGATATCAGGTAAAGTCTGGCAATCTGCAATACACAAAACATCAGACAAAATGTACAAAGGTGTGAACATGCCAAGGACTGGGTATCATTGGAAAAAAAAATATATATATAATATAGTATGATATTTTTGATATCAATATCGATTCCTGAATTATACTTTTTTCGATACCAATTTTATGAAATTACGTATTACCTAAAAAAACCCATTGGTTTATTTTTTCAATTTGTTGGCTTTTTTATACAGACTCAAAAACTCATATAGGCCACTGCGAGGTGGAATATATGCTGCGCGCTCAAGCGCACATAAAGCTTGCCGCAAAGCACTGTCAAAAGTAACCTAATGATTATGAATGTGTCTGGAAAAAATAAGCATTAGTGAAAGCATCGGTGAAATGTTGCCACATCTTTGATGTTTAACATCTATGAGGGTTGGGACACTTACACACAACAATCCCATGTGTAAGCCACGTCTCTAGGCGTAAACTAGTGTTTTTCCTTGATGCCTCACCACAGCCAATCATGCTGCATGCTTATTGGCTCACTGACATTGACGAAATTAACCCCTCAGATAAGAAAATTTGGTACCGAACGACAAGAGATTTTTTGATACTCAATGGTCTCAATGCAATTTGGTCTGTGCCTAAAAAGTATCGAACTCGATACCGAGCCCCAGCTATGCCACAAACTTCAGTTGTGATCTGTTAACTCCAACTGTAAATGTGTGTACCTTCTTCTGCAGTGGTGTGTGCACTATAGACAGAGATTCAGTGATGCAGGAGACGACCTCCTCAGCAGCCTCCGCTCTCTCTAGGCAGAACAGCATTGCATCACCGATTTCATCTCTGCGAGGAGTCAGTCCTCTCAGCAGGGCTTCCAACCGCTCTCTGTGCCTGAGACATAACACACACATTCAACATGTACATGCATTGAGGGGCCAAAAGAATGTGGCCACAGGCCTAAGTGCATTTTATTTTAAATGAAAAATGTGCAAAAGAAAAGAGAGACGGCCTACTACATCTATTTTCGGAACACATTCTTACTCTGCCTTCAGTTGCCCTTTCTTTGGCTCTTCCTCTTGAGAAGGGAAGGAGAGCTCTTCTATTTCCTCATCGCCATGGAGATATGGGTTAAGGAGTGGGGGCTTCCAAAGAGAGCCACCCCTAAACATTCGGAAAGGGGACGTTCTCCATTTATTTGGGTTTTCTCCCTTAGAGAAGGACAGAGACACAGGGAAACAGTGTATAACAGTTTTCATATAGATGTAAACATTTCATAATTTATCATTGAGAGTAAAACTGTGTCTGGCCATGAAAGGCAGCAGCTCATCTACCTGTAGAATGGAGTAGAGCTTCCATCTGTAGTACACATGCTCCTGAGTCTTATTATCAAACAAAAACCTGCAACATTAACCAAAATGGGGTTGGATATGGCATTCAGAGGGACTTTAGAAACAATTTTAATAAAATTAAATTTCTAAATATAATATAACCTAAAAAATGATCGAGTTTATTGTTCTGGATGACCAGACGCAGTCAAAAAAGAAATGCCATGTATTTAACAATATTGTTTCTGGACTTTTAAGTTTTAAAGAGGTTTGTTATTTTCATATATTATTTATATATGATTTTTTAGATTCCTAGATTTGTTGCACTTTTTAATACAGTTATATTGTAAATCTAAAATACCCTTTTCAGTTTAAAGTATTAGATGTGTGGCTGCATTAAGTTCTTTTTCACTTAAGAAAAATAAATATATATATATATATTGCTGTGAAAAGTATATCAGATATTAAACATACAGTACTCTAGTTCACTGTACTGTATGTATTTGTTGAAGTTTTATTAAGGGATAAGTCTGAAGCACACCATAAAATAATTCTATCAATTCATACAGGGCTAGCATGAATTGTATAGATACACACCCAGGTATTGGATCAGTACTCGATGGATCGATACGAATCGATTAATATTTACACCCCTATGCTCTTTTCCAAATAAAAGTGAATGGTGGGTAACATCCAAATGATGCCAAATGTTATTGGTTGTCATAAAATGACACAGATGAGACAGTAAACACTTCTGAACTTCAATATCATGTCACTTTGGAAGACTTGAATAAAGCGCATAAAGACTGCTTCGTGTCATCCTGTTACCATGCACACTAAATGAAAAAGAGAAGCATGAACATCCTGCCTAATGTCCGCTTTTGTGATTTTAGGATAAAAAGTCATACTTTAAATTCTTTTACTTCCAAATTATTATTTTTAAATGATTTACATACCTGAATTCAGGGTTGTTCTTTTCCCGGTTCATGATGATGGCTTCAAACATGGGACCCTCTCTTACCACAAACTCAATCATTCTGTGTATCAAGCCCAGCAGGTTCCTATCAGCCACAAAAGAGATGGATGAGAGAATGAACAAGGGCACCCTCTTTTCTTCCCCTCCTTTCTCAATCACTCCATATAGTCCTTACAGCCTTACCATGTCAGTTCTATCTTTTTCTTCTTTCATTTTCACTGTCTGGCAGTTTGAAACTTGTATTTTGCTCTGAATTTTCTGTCCACTCCAAATCAGATTGCTTTCTGATGTTACCATGGCCCTATGAGACCGTTTAGGGAGTGTGTTTTGGTATAATGTTAGCTCCTGAGGTTCACAGAAAGGCCACTTTGTGACATTCTACACATTTTCACAGTAGTAATTACTGGGTATAAAATGATTTATGTTGTTGAAACCGCAACTGTGTTAACAGAATGGTGAAGTTGCTGATGTTGCTAAAGATGGGTAACCTCTAAGCATGTATATATATCTGGAAGCGTATGAGTGATTGCCTTGGTTACGATCTAAAATCAGTGATGTATAACAGTATCCTTGCGATGATCTAACCACTGTAATGTAGGCATCAGTCTACAGGTGAGTGTGTTTGTGTGTGTTTCAGTGGCAATGGTGTTTTAATAAATGGACAGAGAATGTGTACCTTTCTGGGGGGATTACCACTGTCACTACGGCCTCGGACAGAGTCTGTTCATGACGTCAAACCAAATGATGAAGATACAAAAATACAGTGAGTTTATATTTAAACAAACTGCAGAATATTCATGATTAATATCAGCAGCAGCAGCTAAACCTCTGGAAACATGCTCCGCAAACAGACAAGTTCATCTCACCGCTGTTTCTGGCTCTGTCTGGAAGACATTCTGTGTATTTTACACTTTGCTTCCTCCAACCTGTGTGGCTTCACTAAGGTGATTGGCTTTTTTTAAATGATTATTCCAGTTTAAAGCTTATACATTTAAACTGTCCACAGACAAATTAATAAAAAATGAGTTCTCACAAAGATACAATTGCAAATTATCTAAACCCAAATAAACTTAAGATAACTGAATATTGTTGCAAATGTTGAACTAACCGATTTTTTTTTTATTTGTTGCTGCCAATGATGCTTTACAAGGCTTGGAAGGTTTGGATTTGACATAATTGATGACTCATCTCTGACATACCAATAGAAATGTGACCTGTTGAGATCAGCCAATTAGCTTCAACAGAATCTGTAGGTTTAAGAAGCCAGACAGGTTGGTAGGAATAAAGTGTCTCTTGTTACACAGGATGTCCCCCAGGCTAATAATGAACATCAATATTTTTTGTGATTCGTTTGTCTACTGTGCAAAAGTCTAAGACACATCAGTATTTTCATCCAAAAAAGGGTTTTAAGACAGTTATTTATATATTTTACTGTAGTGTGTCAGTAGAAAATATCAGTTCTCATTTCCAGACATTCCTTTTGCCATTAATTGCAATAATCCAGTGAGATTTTTTTAGCAAAAGGAATGTCTGGAAATGTAAACTGATATTTCCTACTAAAGCATTACAGCAAAATCAATAAATAACTGGCTTAAAACCCTTTTCTTCCTGGTAAAAATGCTAACATGCCTAAGACTTTTGCACAGTAATGTATACGAGTCAAATCAAGCACGCTAAATTAGTCTAAATTGTTCCCACAACAGTGTGAATTCACACTTTGAGCTGATTTTGTAACTTTCCTCAAACAAAATGAAGTAAGTTTCTCTGACAGTGCCACATCTCCATCACATTTCTCTCAATATATAATATATACTGTTGTTCAAAAGTTCGGGGTCACTTCAATTATTTTAAGAAATTAATTATTTTTATTTAGCAAGGTACACACACACACATATATATATATATATATATATATATATATATATGTATAAAAGTGACAGTAAAGTGGTTTATAATATTTCAAATAAACGCTGTTTGTGATGGTTTGAACAAAAATATTAAGCAGCACAACTGTTTTCAAGATTGATAATAAGAAATGTTTGAGCTGCAAATTTCTGAAGATCTATCTATCTATCTATCTATCTATCTATCTATCTATCTATCTATCTATCTGTCTGTCTGTCTGTCTGTCTGTCTGTCTGTCTGTCTGTCTGTCTGTCTGTCTGTCTGTCTGTCTAACTAACTACATACTCAGCCATGACCTTTTGTATCAACCCAGCCATGACCATTTGTATCAACCTAAAACCACCGGACAGGAATCAAATTTTTCTTTGGCTACTTTTTATCATTTAATGATAAAACGTTTGTGTACTCAGTAATGAATCATGCTCCCAGAATACTTTTCCAGCAGAAAAAAAAACTTTAATAAAGAACTTGACTTCAGCATACCAAACTCTACTACACCAGACAGTGTGTGTGTGGTTACCTTGTAAAAGTCTTCCTGCGAGCGACTGCGTGGTTTGGTGAAGTCATTTCTGAAGCGGTCTCTGGGTTGGGCGTTGAATGGCAGTCCAGAGGGTGGAGGGGGGGCAGTGGTCTTCAGCACCCCGATTGGGGTGTAAAGAGGTTGCGGAGGAATACGTACTGCCTTCCCCCAACCCAGTTTCATTTCAAAACCCATTACTGTTTTACCTGCAATACAAAGACACCAGAGCTCAAAGGTCAAAACCGTCCAAGTACCTCTTTTGCAGGTGGCAGCCTGATGTTTCATTTACACTGGTTTGAGGATTGAGGATGTCTCACCGTCCAGCGCAGCCAGAGCACGCTCTGCATCTTTCCGTGTCATGAAAGCAACAAAGCCACGGTTTGTGACTCTCGTTCTCTCCTCATCAGTGCGAGGCCACATGATCTTTACACTGGCCAGAGGGCCGTATTTTCCAAACTCCTTACAGAGCATCTCTTCTGTCATCTAATGAGAGTGAAAGCTTAGTACACAAGTATAACACACCTGTGTAATTACAAGAGTGCCACATGGCCACTGTTATGCAGTCTGTTAAAGCAAAACCATGTGACCAGTCAGTAGACAAAATGACGTGGTCTCTTCTCACCTTGGGGTTGATGCAGCCGATGTACAGGTTTGTTGTGTTTGGCACTGCAGGATCATCATCAAATACTGCAAAAACAATATATAAAAAAGGTTTTAGGTTTCCAATGGGTTTGTAAAGTGAAACATGTGGTGTATGTTCGTCAGAATTACTTGATCTTCGTGTCAGAGGTAAATCCAGATCTGGGTACACTCCAGAGTCCCCTTTCTTTCTTTTGTATCGCTCCTCTCTTTCCTCCTGTATTCTGAATGGCAGATTGAATAAAGACAACACTTTTTAGCAACAATTTTTTTACACTCTTTAAAGTCACAATGAATGTTCCAGTAATGAGTGAAACATAATGAAGCGTTCACAATAACATCATGCATTTAGAAAACTGGTAAAGTGAAATTTTAGTTAATGGAGACAGATATACATTTCCTTGGCTTTTTGTTTGAGATGACCAAGACAGAAAATTGTAAGCAAAACCATGAAAGAAACACTGACTGTTTTAATTCCTCTTTAAAAAGCTCCAGATTACTCTTCTTCTTCTCCTCAGTCTTCTTTTTAGCTGCCTAGAATGGAAAAAACAACAATTATGTTATGCCTAATATTGCATTTTGTAACTTAGAGCAAAATTGATCTTGTAATCTATACTGATGATGATGATCTTCTCATCTTGTTCCTTCAGACTAAATCTTACCTCTCAAAACGGAGGATATTAAGCTCATCTGATTACAGTAGACAGAAGCTCACTTACAGCTTTTTTAACTTCTGTAGGTTGAACAGGTGAGGCATTCTGAGGTGGAGAATTGAATTTAGAGGCGGGTCTGTAGAGTTTGCTCTTCTTCACCTCTGCGGCTTCTTCCTCTGAGAGTTGAACAACAAACACAGTAGTATAATATACAATAGTACTGTATATACAATAGGAACTCTCTCCTTCCATTTTAACTTAACTTAGCTTGGATCTATATTTTTTAGAAGCCCACAACTTAGCATTTTCCTACAAGAAACATATAAGCATCATACTAAAACAAAAGTCAGCTTTAAAGGTTCAAGGAGTCAGTAACTAAATTGTAATTGAAATTAATCTATTATAAGTATTAGATAAAAGCTTAAAGAGTAAAAGAACTTAAATGAAAATTAGATATGTTGGCGAACTAATTTAAAATAAGTTGAAGTTAAAGTACTAAAATGACTAAAAACTGAACTAAAAATAAATGAAAGCGACAAAAAAATGACTAAAAGTTGAACTGAAATGAAAATTTAATATAATAAAGGCCAATTAAAAGTATTAATAGACACTAGTATAATACTGAATATGGATTTGCAGAAATACACAACAACTCACCTTTAGTTGCATTGACAATGCCTCCTCGTACAAACGTCTTCACTCCGCTTTTGTCGTTAGTGTCAAAAGAAGCTAAAAATTCCTCAAAGACTTCAGCAGCTTTCTCCTCCTCCTGGAAACAGTGAGATAAAAAGATGCTGGGTATATTTTTTATATAAAAATACTGTATTTCCTATTAATAACCCTATTTTACTTTTTTTTTACTAAGCACAACTGCTCTGGCCTACAGAGCTGCACATGACATGCGGTGTTGGGGGGACAAGATATTGTGGCCAAAAATTAAGAATTCATTTCCATGTGCACCCTTGATTTGGTTAAATAATGGTCACCTTGTACGAATTCATTTCTTGTTTTAATTTAGTTAAAGGTATAGTTATCAATTTCTGAGAAACGCTGATGAACAAGGATCGGACCGAGCACCACAATGCACTTGTAGCCAATCAGCAGTAGGGAGCATATATACACTCATGATGGTGGAGTAGAGAGAAAGAACAAGAGGGCGATTTGAAGAAAGATTTTAGAAAGAGAGATGGCTGAAAGACATTGCAAAGGAATATCACTAGAAAATTAAGGGTTTGATCAGGCAAGAGCTTTAGGACCCGCATTAATATTAGAAAAGCTTTCCAGCGCTGAAGAGACTTTCAGCAAGACCTGAAAACGGACACAGCCGTGTTTTTTTCTGCTCCATAAGCGAGTAAAGTTCAGCATCTTCCCGAAACATTATTTTGCTTCACTTCAGCTATGATAAAGAGAAAAGAGACATCCACTCTTGCATTGTGTGTTCGTGCATTTTGGGGGCGGAGAAATGAGTGTGAGTTGGGGCTGATTTCAAATATCAGCAGTGTTTCTCAGAAATGGCTTACTGCACTGTAAATCACAGTCAGTCACAAATCACAATTGAACCAAATCCAAGGAAATAATTAATAAAACATTGCCACTAATTTGATAAACGTTTTCTTCTGCACGCCACAGTCCGCACCGACCATCTCACAAGCTGAATGTTTATTGACTCTATCAAACACATTTTGCTGACAAAAACTTACCTTTTTCTTCATGTCCTCTTGTTCTCTTTTTGTTAGTGTTCTCTTCACCCCCACTGATTTCCCTTTTTTGTCTGCCATGTCAACTCTAAAACACAACAGAAATATACTGTAACTCAGATCAACGTAAAGGCATATATTCAATCATGCAACCATTTATTGAGGATTGGGAGGACTATACTGATTTCAGAAAAAAACACTATTCTCGTGGTTATACTAGTCTGAATATTGGGAGTGAAGACCCTGCATACCTGACAAATATCACAAAGTACGTGACCTAATGACAAGATGTCTGAAAATAAGAATGAAATTGTTTTTACTCCATTAATATGTCCTCTCTTGGTCTGAACTGAGGACAGCAGGATGCAGGACTGGTGAAGATGCAAAGCAGCTTTAAAAGATGCTGGGTTATCAACCCTGCCTTTTTGTGAGACAATATCACTGCGCACTAAAACACATTGTTTGTGTTTGATTCATAAAGGCACTATTTTAGTTATATAAGTTATAACATTATCTTTCAATAGTCATAGACCTGCTGTTGGGGGTGCCTCCATAACTCAATCAGCTACTGTTTCCTAACCTAGCGAGCTGCTACCTAGACAGCATTTGTGGGCATCACAGAAGCCGGCAGTCTCCCAAAAAGCTGTCTAGGTGGGAAGCTCACCAGGTTGGAGTAGACAGCCTGTTTGTGCAAGATAGCGTTATGGCTAACACCTCTAACGTTAGTCCTCCGGGCCTCCTTTAAACCTCAGACAACCTTTTGCTGTCAACTGCTTTAACGCCGCTGGAGGACGTAATGAAAATGATGCAGCAACCAGGTACACATCTGTAAACATTCTATATAGCGACTTACACAGCTCTTGCGTTGCAAACACTAAACCGTTGGTTTGTTGTTAATCCGCCATTTTGAATTCTACTAGAAATGGAAATAGCGGAAAAGTGACGTCGCGTTGCAAACACCAATCAGAGCTCAAAACGCCTCATTCTGCGACTGCAGTGGATCTCGTCACTTCAAAAAGAAAAAAACCAACGAATATGCCCGTGTAATATAAGAAATAATTTCTATAAAAGGCTGTTATAGAGTAACGTTAAAAATACGTTCGTTCCAAACATCAATCAGAGCTCAAAAGGCCTCATTATGCGACTGCAGTGGATTGTCACTTCTGAAGGTACAAAAAAGCAAATATGCCCTTGTAATATAAGAAATAATTTATATAAAAGGTTACGTGTAACGTTATTAATTTAAATTTGATTTATAGAACAGGCTGAAGTAATGACCTCAAATTAATTTTGTAAACATCTGGTGAAATAACACATCTAATATAACAGACACTTCTGTGTCTGTGTTCTGAGACACACCATATGATTCATTTATCCATGAGATTTATCCATTTATCCATTATATGATTAATTCGAGAAGGAAAGCTATGAGAAACATCTGTCTTAGTAAATTGTCAGATGTTAATAAAGTTTAGTTTTTAAATAGCACAAGTTGGACCATAGCATAAAAATTGCTCAATAATTAAGGCTCTCCTAAAGACCCAAACTCCAACTGATGTTTATTAGTAACTGATGTGATAAATGTTTCCGAAGGTCAATATATTATTTTGTGTTCCACAGAAGAAAGTAATGCAGGTTTGGAAGAAACAACAGTAAATTATGACAGCATTTTCATTTTTGTGTGAACTTTCCATTTAATCAACATGTCTAAATAAACCGAAAGACAAATCACACATAAAACACTAGGTTATGATTATATTAAATGTAAACAACTTCTTTTCATATTTACATTTTTTGTTACTGAGATGAACTCTTCTATCTAGTGTCAGAACGCAATACAGTATTTACACGGTATAACAAGTGGCACTTCATTATCTTCTAAGTTACCTTCAAACGTGTATTTTTCCTTCTTCTTACTTCTAACTTAAAAATGTAAAAGTCTAATCATATAAAAATTTACATTTTCTTTTAAAAAGGATTCTATGGATGTTTGTACACTGCAATAAAACCTCCTTATCCTACTGTCAGAAATGTTCAGATTTCGATTGCTAACACACTGAAATTAAAAATAAAGTTAGTGAAAAATAATAGTTAGTGAAACGCTGATATTCAAGGAGCAAACCTCAGCCCAGATCTGCACAAGCCTCACGTTTTGCAAATTACTACACACACTTTTCTACATTAGACACAGAAATCCAACATGATGTCACCTCTTTGACGTTTGAAAATTTCCAAAATACCACACTTATGAACCAATTGTTCAAACACGGCCATCAAATGTGCTGCTTAATTGTAAACTCAACCATCAGTTAAGCATTATCAAAAGGTGAGTTTAACTGTCTTCAACAAAAATGGAAGGCATGCAACGTTGCAGTAAGAGGAAGAAGGAGAGGGAGGATGAGAGGAAGAGATTGACCTGGTCACCTGGAGGAGGATGTGGTAAAAAAAAAAAAAAAAGAGGATTACATTTACCAGATGCAATTCGAGCAACATTGTTGTAAACCATAGTTTGACATTGAGAGACTGGATAGAGAGTTCAGTCCAACCTCAGCAGATACAATGTTGCTAATACATCTGATATTTCGACAAGAGCACAAGGTGAAAAAAAAACAAACAACTTTTCTCTACTGTTTACAGTACAATCAGTACAATGTAGCCTATACTTAATGACTTCCATCAGCACTTTTCATTACCCATTCCCTGTATTCCATATTTGTGTGCTTCCTGTGAATATTTCGAGGTAAGTAATGTACACCTCAGTATAGTGCACTGCACATAGAACCTTTTTACATGTAAATTTACAGTAGACCTATATTGAACTACACAATGTTGTCTTTTTTTCAGAGTAAAAGTAAGAATGGAGAAACATCATTGACCACAGAGCAATTTTGAATATACCGGGCCAATGTGGTGGTAACATCACAATGTGTGATGCAATCACACAGAATGGGATCCTCCACCTGCATTGCAACTTTAGGTCCTGACAACACAGCCAGCATACTCACATTTTAGATAGACTACACAACATTGTCACAGCAGACGACCAAATGAATGAAGAGCAGATGAGAAACATTTTCATTTGGGACAATGTTTTTTTTTTTTTTTTTACTCATCTGCTTTGGTCCAAAACTGGTTTCATGATTCACAATTTTTACTCCAAGACCTCACACCATTCTCTCCCTTCCTTAACACCACTGAGGAGATTTTTTTTGCCCAATTGATGCAAGGATGCAACGTCATTCAAGGCTTGCGAGAGAGGACATACTGTAGCCTGTGATGTGGACAAAGTGCTATGGCCTGATACAGCTAGGCAAAGGGATGATGCTTAGGTTTTTGTCTCCACAAATGTTTTTGTTATTTATGTACTATTTAGAATATGTTCTGATTTTCAGGGCAAAATTAACTTTTGACTGATTTTACAATGTGGAGAGAAATATTTTGCTCAAAGTGCAGTATTGGTGTTGTATTAGGTCAATATATTCATGTAACTCAAATATTTCTGAAAAAATCTAAATCTCACAAGCGTTTCAAATTTAGCACAGCAGTGTTTAAGAGGTTCAAATAAAATCAGATTATATGAACCATGTGTGTGCCTTACACTGTCAAAATTGGGTTTTGTTAAATTATGGTAAAGTTTTAAATGAAGTGTTTTGCTCTGATTATCTTCTTGTGTGTTTCTTACTGAAACTGTAATTAAAGTTCCCTTTCAGTCGCTCACGTTCGATGTAGTCGATGTGTCGACTGATTGGGATCACGCTTAAAGAGCCTGTCATCTTCGATCCCATATGTGTATTCTTCCACGGTACGGCTCCCTGCAGCGAGCCTGTGTCTTCCTTTGGCAGAGTCTGCTCTGCCATCACTGTTCGTTTGAGTCTCCCCACTGTCATAGGCTGGAGCCACCCCAGTGACGTTCCATATGTTGTACTGCCCGGTCATCCACCCAGTTGTATAATGTATATTCTCCACATTTTACCTCCTTTCCGGCAGGATGTGGCTTCCACAGCGTCCCTTCTGCTTTCCCAGTGGTCCTGTAGGAACAGCAGTGACTTCCCTACCTAACCCTGTCCCTTCCCCACCTTAATTTGCGGGGCTTTTGTCTAGGCACTGGAAGGTGGTAGCACTAGATGGCGTTTTAATTGGGATGCTAATCAGTCAAAACGTCAATTAAGTTGAATGTGAGCGACTGAAAGGGTGTGTCTCGGTTACTTATGTAACCCTCGTTCCCTGAAGGAGGGAACGGAGACATAGTCCCATCGCCACTATTGCTGGACCACCGCTGACTCCGAGTTACGTTTGGCTCCTCAACGAAAAATAACTAGTGCGTGCATCCACTTCAGTATTTATTCCCCCACCGCAGGAACGGAGTGTGTAAAGCATTTCACGCACGAGTCACGACAATTACATTTGGCTCGTTTTAACAGTACTTGAAGATGACAGGCTCTCGAGCGTGATCCCAATCAGTCGACACATCGACTATGTCTCCGATCCCTCCTCCAAGGAACAAGGGTTACATAAGTAACCAAGACGTTTTCCTTTAGCTGAAAACCAAAACTGAAATCGAAAAGTTTTGTTGATTAAATCTTGGTAATCAAACTCCTTATGCTGCTCAGGGTGTCATGGTTAGGGCGATAAATTAAACCAGTCGCCATAAACTTCCGCAACTAGCCAACTCTTGATATATCAGTCTAAATCTTTTACATGTTACACTAACAATATTTTTGTTCATGATGAAGAGCATCCATTTTGCAGCAATGTTGTAACTGTTGTACCTTATCCATGTTGTTCGTAGGAAATAATCACCGGTTCCGTTTTTTGATTATACCTGATGTATTCAGATATATTCGATATTTTTCTCTATGTTGTACACTACCGTTCAAAAGTTTGTGGTCTGTAAGATCTTTTCATGTTTTCTAAATAATTCTCTCATGTCCACCAAGGCTGCATTTATTTTTATTAAAAATACAGTAAATTGGAATATTTTTACAATTTACAACATTTTTTATATTTTAATATATTTTAAACTTTAATTTAGTCCTGTGATAGCAAATCCCTCCAAAACTATTTTGGTCAAAACTGATTTTTTTATTTTTTATTTTTTTAATGCTTGGGATGTTTCAAATTCAAATAGTTAAAAAAATAATTTTGGTTGCCAAAATATTGGTGCGTCACTAACAGTAAACTCCACTAATTCATTAAATTGAACAATGGTTATTCGAATCACTGAAGAATTACTGTTCGACCAGCTCCTCTTGATTCTCCCCTCCCCCTTGTCAAGCCTCGTCCTCCTCTTGTCACACCAACCCCTCCTCTTCCTCTGCCTCTTCCACCCCCCGCAATGTTTCCTCTTCCTCTTCCAGCACCTATAATGTTTCCTCTTCCTCTGCCTCTTCCAGCCCCCGCAATGTTTCCTCTCCCTCTGCCTCGTTCACCCCTAACAGTGTTTCCTCTCCCTCTGCCTCGTTCACCCCTAACAGTGTTTCCTCTTCCTCCGCCTCCTCGAACAGCTCCTCTTCCACTGCCCCTTCCCCATCCTCGCCAACTGAAACTCAGGTCAGTGAATCGGTCATTGAGGGATACGGAAGTCTGCAAAACCAAGTAAAAACAGAGGCTCTAAAAACGGATTAACAATTTAATTGTGTAAGTTTATGGAAAAATAATAACACTTTACTGTCTTTACATACACAAGGCCAATAAAATGTTATAAATGTCTCACTCTCCTACCAGGTGTACAGGCTTTGCCAGATGGCTAAACTCACCTGGTTGGTGGTTGCTTTGTAGTTAAATTGCAGAGGAATCCCCTTAGGTAAAGAAGTACCAACTCCTCTAGATCTGCCCCTTAACACCCCACCCCTCCTAGCCTGAATAGGTGTCTTCCTAATGGAGTGTAAAAAGCAAGAGAGACAAAGAATAGCTAAACAAAGAAGTACATACAAGTGGTGAATTAGAAGCCAGCGAGAAAGTTCATTCACTCACACAGCGACAGGTGCAGATTTAGCATTTGGCAGGGAAACTGTCAGTGTTGAGCCAGATGGTGCTGTTCTTTGACTTCTGTGTGTGTTTGGATGTGGGTGTGACAGACACACAGAGAGAAAGACAATTTGTCAACACACCTTGAGAGTACTTTTTAGAATATGTCATATTCACACGTAAAGAAACTCACCCTCTTATTTTCTGATACTTTTGCAATTTCTCAGCCATTTTTGTGGCAGAAAACTGAAGAAACAAAGACAAAGCACAGGACTGAAAGTTTGAAACATTGTAACAGGAAGGTCAATCCATGTGTAAGTCGTGTGTAATGATTTTTTTTTAATAAAGATTGCCCTTCTTACCCCTCTGTCTAATACAAATGGTCTTCCACCCCTTTGTCCTCTTGCTGACATTGCACCCCTAGAACAACAAAAACATGACTATGACAAAAACCATTAAACAATTACAGCGTGACTACATTTAAAGCCCTTCAGATATTTATCCTTGTTTTAGCATGGGTTCCGGTTGCAGTCTCTTTTTCCAAACTCTCAGTCCAAAGTCTTTTGCATTTTACAACGGATGAATCTCCACCCGTCACTGCGATTGTCATTTGAACTATTCTGGATCCGCCACTATTCTGGATCAAGTGCTGTGAGAAAAGGTTAAAAATCTCCACCTTCAACATCCTCACTCGCAATATGGCCGAATAGCTGAGACTCCTTCTTTATGTGTACAGATATGTGACGTAATGACGCAAAGACATGCTTGAATCTCCCGCGGAAATCCACCAGCAGCACTGGAGTTACAAACATTATTACAAATTTACTGTTTTGAATAGAGCTAAGGCAAGCAGAGAGTTTTGAACTCTATCGTGTTTTGGATATGTACTTGCTCACAAAATTATTTTGGATAATTTTTAACCCAAAAAAGCTACGAACTGCAGCTTTAAAGCTTCTTTGGTATTCTTATGTTTTCTATGAAAGTAACCGGAAATCGAGGTTAAAGTGGATATAACGTTATTGACAGGTTACACAATGACACAGGCCATTACACTAGTTAAAATAGCTGAATTCTCTGGATTTGGGATAATGTAAGTACACAAGTCAATAAAATATATTGTTCTAGTGGTTTTTGGACATTTTAATCCAAAAAATCTTACATATTGTGCCTTTAAGATGATAAAGTTGAAACAGAGAAGAGAGTGTAGAACCTGCTCAGTCCGGCTCCTCTTCCTCTACCTCTTCCCCGTCCTCTGAATGTCCCCCTCGATGTGAATGTGGTCTGATCAAACTGTCCATCGATCTAAAGCACAGAGAAAGTAATCACAATAATAATCATTGAAATAAATCTTACAAAGATAACAGGGTGATTCAACCACTGGTTTCAATTACTTAACTCTATTTTAGCCATAGAAACAATAAGACCGTTCATACCGTGGTAGCGGCAGCGGCTCTGTTTAGTGAACCCCCTCTCGACACCATTCCTCTCGCGGATCCCCTTTGTCTTCTCAAACCTCTCAAACCTCTCAACCCACCAGGACCTGTGGGAGAAACCTCTATTAGAAACCACTTAAACAAGTATTTGTACAGTTTATTTGAAGCATTTTTACAGATCTAGCCAGGCTGAAGTCATATGCCAATTGTCCAAATGTGTCAGCTGTCACTAATTGAAGTGTAAGACAGTCAAGTATCAAATGCTTGCCTTGGTACCGCTGCTGGCCTTGCCTGAGTCCCCTCTGCTGCTGCTGTGGAACTTGGTTGAGTTTCTTCAAGACGTTACTCCTGTTAGAAGCACGTTTACTTTTAGCTCTGTTCGCCTTCTCCTCTTTCTTATTCAGCCTTATAATGTCATCTGTGTAAAAACAAAAGGAACAAAGTGTTTTGCATCTTGTTTACTAAAAAGTAAAGATATTTAACTTAAAGATAAATGATTAGATAAAATTAGATACAATTTGGAATTAATTCTTGTTTGAGCTAAATAGGAAAAGAATTAGGTAAATACAGCATGCAATATAGGCACCTTATGTTTTTATTTACTTGTTTATCTCATGAGTGGGTGAATTTTGCTATGGCAGATATGAATGATAAATCTTCTAACAGCACAGCAACTACTTTTTTACTAATGATAATATACTATTAGTGTATCTTGGTGTGTTGCAGATATGTTTTGCCTCGGTATCAGTGTATTATAAATTCTAAAATTTATAAAAACCTATTTGTTTTTGTTTTTTTACCCATTTACCTATATTAGGCTACCAACCTATTTGGTTTAGAGCCCTTGGATAGGTTATTTACATAACCAAATAAAACCACAAAAGATTTAAAATGATCAGCTATTCAGGTTTGTTGAAAAAACAATAAGGGTGTGTATTAAAATAGTTGAATGACTGGTGCTACTGTCCGTCATTTACTGAGGCTGGATGAAAGTTTTATTTCACTTACAGCCTATTTAAAATATTACTTCTTTCTAGTCCTTACATTTCATTACAGAGTCATTTATTATAACGCTGAAGTCAAGGCAAATGTTTTGAGGACGAGCACGTTGGTTTGACAGCTGTTGAATGTATGTGACAGCTGACCACTGTTTCTTTACAACACGTCCACACAGAAGTGAAACCGACAAATCCTGCAGCTGCGCCAACTCATCCAAATCGCAATGTCTCGCCTCGCAATTACTAACCTAATGACAAGTCGATTTTGTCTGAGCTTGAAGCGTGAGACTCCTGCATTTGCTCTGTATTCTCCGTCTTTACTTCATTTTCCCCCATTTCGTCTTCCAGTGTCGTTGCGCACGCAAAAGTTTCACAAGCGTCGCGTGTCCGTGTTTGACTCGGCTCGAAAACACCCGAATATAGCCTATAGCCTACACGGTAAATTCCGAAACGAATGTAAGAACACAGAAACCACGCCAAAAACGAGACGGACTGTGAAACTTTTCAACCCGGTTTCAAGACGTTTTCCTTGTGTTTATTTGTGTCGATCGAGTGAGTGAGAACCGGCCCAGCCCAGCAGCGCGTTGAATAGGAGGAGTGACAACCAATATGACAAGAGCTCTTAAAATAGCGCAATGTCTAATCCTGGTAGGCAGGTCTTTCCAAGCATTGCAACGCAACTAGCCAACTAGCGGCAGGAATCCCCTCCCATTGTTTCACGAGTGAGTTCGCACTTACAAATAAGTCAGAATAGAATAAATGCGTATTTGGCGTGCTGTCCGAGCCCGAACCAAGTGTACTCCCCCCGTATTCCTGGCTGTGAAAAAAATAAGCCAAGAGTGAGGAGTCGGGGTGGTGGAGGAGGTATGCTGAAACTGAATGTTAGGTGAGTATGATTCACAGAGTGAATACAGTGATGTAGTGGTGCCTGCTGCCTGTAGAAGTGGGTATACTCTTAATTTATGCTCTTAATTTATGCCCCCAATATTTTTAAGCGTCGTCCCAGCAAAGGATGAATGCTCTTTGTTATAAACAGTGACATGTAATAGCCTAGTCTTGCATTAGTATTGAATATGCAAGACTGTAGAATATAGAATGCAATGAATACAATAGAACATATAGAATCAATATTCTTGCATATCAGGGCCGTACGTAGGGTTTTCTAAATACCCAGGTCCCATAAATTATATTGCTGGGGGGTTGGGGTCATCCAAAAACAGCCGTAGGCTAGGCTATATTTTAGCTACTGCATCTTATCTCACACTGTATGATCGTTAGGGATAGTTCACTTTTTACTTTTTCACAAATTAATTTTTGATACGTACTAGCTTAGGGCATTCAAGATGTAGTAGGTGTCTTTGATTAACCTCACTGCGCCCTATCTATACTGCGAACACGCGACAGAACTGTAATGATCCCTTTATATTCGACTATGCAGTTTTATTTATCATTACGGGAACAGCTTATTTAGATTCTATCGTGGAGGTGAATGTATGCGACAACATACCATCCTGCATACCAAGCAGGACAACATATTCATACATACTAAAACCCCAAAACTTCAATTTTGATTTAATGTAGACTTCTCAGCAACAAACTTCATATGTTGCATTTTTCTCCATTCAGCCGCCAGGGTTCGCCTTTGAGCTGAGGGCCCGTTCTCGTACCCCACCAAACCGCATCCCTACCACATGAAAGGAGTTAAGACACGCCCTGAGAGTCATTAATCCTTTATTTCACCTCTTTCCACTCAATAATTATCTGAGAGATATTTTAAAAACGAAATCTGACTTAATTATAATTTATAACAAAGCTTTTGAAAGTGCTGTAACCAAGTGCCCATTCTTCTCGTATTACTTAAATTCTGACAAAATAGCTTGCTCTAATTTTGTAAAACAATCCTTATGCTAAATGCCGTAAGTAAGAGCTGTGCTAAATCCTCCGCCTCTTTCCAGTAGCACCCATAGAGAGCCCCCCCCCCCCACGTCCTGTCTGCATCCTCTGCGCATGCGCGGCACGCCAGGCAGGCGGCCCCCTATTATTATTGTCAGAATAATTTCACTTATGAAAATGGCGGCGAGTCAGGGAGCTGTGGGACCTGCGGCGGCTCTACAGAGCCAGCATTATCTGAACGTCGCGCACTGGAGCCCGGGTGTGATTCAACATCAGCAGCAGCAGCAACACCCGTTGCACACCGCCCGCAGTCTGGAGCGCGCACTGGAAGATGCCGTCTGCTCCGGGATACTCAACATCAGCGGAAGAAAACTGCGTGAATACCCGGGTCTTAACTACGATCTGACCGATACTACACAAGCAGGTGGGTCCCGCAGATGTGGGCTAATCTCCCTTCCTGCTCCACTGACCCGATTCTCACGATTCATGTTTTAGGAGGACAACAAAAAGAGATTTAGAGCGTGTACCTTTTTTGGTGCATTTGCGCGGTGTATCAATGGGTGTTTGTGTGTTCACTTAGCCAGTGCACATGGTGCTTGTACAAGGAAAACCGTTAGTATCAGATCACGCTTCATCTCTCATGTTTATCGTAGTTTGAGTGCTGTGACATGGGATTATTAATACTGGCTATGACACTGCGTCTCTATTTGTTTTGGTTTCACATCCCATTTCCCCCCCACATCATATTCCATGAATAAATGCAACTGAGCACTAACGAAAGGAGACATTCTTCATTAACCTTTGCTCCAGTAATCCAGCAGCAAGTTTTAAAATGCAAACCCATTGAAACCTCACTGCATCCTAGCTGCTATCTATATGCGAACACGCGACAGAACTATAATGCTACCTTTATATTCGACTATGCAGTTTTATTTATCATTTATCACGGGAACAGCTTATTTAGTGGATATGGCGTTAAAGGATGGTAAAAACGTCGGTAAATGCAGAGGCTGTAGTGCCAGACAAAAGATGCTATAGCCCTTCGTCTCTATAATCTATCGCGCCTTTCTTCATCCTCTCAGTGTAAGTCAAATTGCAGGCAGCTATGGATGTAATTTAAAAATGCATTTTATTTTCACCAAATGTTTAGTATTATGATTTAGATGTTTGTATTAGTACTAAGAGCTATTGTTGATCTAAATAATCTTTGGTCTGGCAATTCAGAGTCTTTTGGGTACTATGGCTGCACACATGAATATTGCAGTATAAAGCGAATTATAGCTACATTATTGTTTCTGGAGATGAGGCTAAAAATTAAATGGCTGCATCTCTTTCAGAAGTGTCTGTGGTCTGTAATGGTAGTCTTGCCGCAGCAAACAGCCATTCAGATGTGAAGCAGACGGTGGGAGGAGGGACACTAATCCATTCATTCATGCACACCTTACACACAGCATCATGTCTACACTCCCATTCAACTGTATCGAGTTACACTAGTGGATAGGCCTTTTGTGATTATTTGGCTGTCTCAAAACCATTTTAGCTGTGTGAAGGGTCGTTTGTTTATATCAAGTCTTGTGTTTTGATTCTCTCACACACCAGGCTTGTTGGCCGAAAGGAGCCTGTGGCTGTTGTAGATAACAGTAGACGTTCACTGATTTCCATGTTAATTTACTGTCTGGGTGGTTAGCTTACAGATTGTGTTTGTTAATTGTTGATTGCATACAGGGCTGCTTGTGAGCACTTTTGTTTGTCTGCATGATGTCTGTGGATGTGTTTGAAAGAGGAAATAGTTGGATGTACACCAGACTGTCATCTATAAGAGGAAGTGACTTTGTCGCTGACTCAACTGGAGATGTAGGCCTCTGACTGCATAAAGAGAAGAGAATCCTCATCTTAAAATCTGTGTTCACTTTTGTGAGAATAAGATTGCTTGTGTGCTTGTTAGTTTCTGTGTGTTTGACAGTTTGAGTAGCCTTGAGTAAATGGTAGCATGTGCGTACTAGTGTGGGTCTGTTCCAATGGGTGACCTAATTAACAGTCCTTATTGTCTGTTTGGCCACAAACTTAACACTGGAGTATGAAGATACTCCCCAAGTCTCCGATGTTAAAGTGTGATAAAGATGAAGAATTCCTTCTCTTTGTCTTTCTTGCCATAATTTGTCCCATCAGTTTTCCCCTTTGAAGGGAGCTATTTATGACATGAGTCAAGGAGATAGCTGGCTGCATATATCTTTTTGTCATCATTTGTGTCTTCATCAGTTAACTGGTTCACATTTCTGTGAATATGCATTATGCATCTCATTCAATTTGATATTCGATATCAGTTTCAATCCTTCTTGTGCAGAAAAAGGAACCAAAACTCCATCAGGTGACAGAATGAAGAAAAAAAAAACCTCGGGAGAAAACCAGGCTCAGTCGGGGGACCAGTTCTCCTATGACCAATGATCAAACAGTGTATGATTATGATTCAGAATATGATCCAGTTCCATCTGGTTGAAGGTTAGAGTCATCACGCCGTTATGGAGAAGGGTTTGTTGAGGATCAGTGCCAATGGCCTTCACAGGGGAGAGTCTAGTGAAACAATCTCTGCTGACACTTCAGGGATGCGTTGTGGTCGTGTTTAGGCCAATGTTCTCTAATTTTTTCTTGCTGAGTAAAACTTTTTTCTATTGGGCGGACATTTTTTGCAATGGCAATGAGTCCTAAACAATACCCTTGTGAGATTCTTTATTTAAGCTTATAATATAATAAAATATAGGCCTAATATAAAACCATGCTTGAAACCCCCCCCCCCCCCCACACACACACACACAAAACATCTATTTAAACTAATGTATTTTGAATTTTTACGGGGGTCATGGGTGTGTAATTGTTACTGTTCTGTGTCCATCAACCCTTATTTCCACCACTTTAATCAAACCACTCTTCTTTTAAACATTATGATGTGTTTTTATTTCACATTCTCTTTGCCTCTCGTATTGAGTTATTTGGCCCGCACATAAGACTCACTGCCAATCACACATGCTCACATCATTCTCTTTCTATGAAACCGGTAAACTGCATTCACCTGTTTTCACTCTATAGCGGTCCACCTTCTGCTCTGGATACGGCCCGGATCTGGCTGATTACAGTAAACCTCTGAATAAACAGAAAGACTAACATTAGCATATAGATGCCATTCTTCTTATGATGTAATGAGTACATCAGGTGTTATAGGAAGTGTTCCCGGTTCCGTCTGACATAATTTATGCATCCTATGATCATTTAATTGATTTAAATAATAGAAATGTATAATGTTCTATGTGTATGCCAGATTAAAGAGATGTGTTTTTAGTCTAGATTTAAACTGACATAGTGTGTCTGCTTTTCGGACAATGTTAGGAAGACTGTTCCAGAGTTTTGGTGCTAAATAGGAAACGGATCTACCACCAGCAATCGATTTTGATATACTAGGTATCATCAACTGGCCAGAATTTCGAGATCGCAATAGACATGTCGGCTATAATGTGTTAAGAGCTCGCTCAAGTGTTGGGGAGCTGAACCATTTAGTGTTTTGTTTAAGAGCACTAGTCTAAAACCATTTAGTGTATGCAGTCATACGTAAGTAAACACGGAGAACACTAAAGTAAGCGAATATGTGTTTATTTAGAGTGTGATCTTGCTGCTGAAGCCAGTGAATTTATGCGCAGGCAACATAAAAAAACAAAGATGAGAATATAAAAAAAGAGACTTCTTAAACTCCTTCCTATGACTACCTTTCGCAACTGTTTTGATATCAGGTAGGCCTATGTAAAATCTTTAAAGTGACTCGCATGAGCTCAGAATTGTGACGAATGTTGATCAAATATGCATTAATTTCGTTACTGTTCAGAGTGACTGAGGTCGCATTGCAAAATATCTGATTTAGTACCACATCATGGAAGTGGCACAAATTGGAATTGAAAAGATATGGTTGCATGTGGTTTTTGTGGTTCACATTGTCTTGAGAAAAACAGATCTGAGTCACATGTGAGCAATAAAAAAACAGCCTTATTGCAGTGGTGAGGTTTGAAAAAGTAGCTGAAGAAGTATGTTCAAAGATCATGTACGTACAAATACTCGTTTCTAAACCGTAAGTCTGAGCAACTGAATGAGAATCTTTATATGACAAAGACTGGCTAGATGTGAGATGGTTGGTTTTATTTAAAAAATAAAAGCTCAGATTTTTTCTACTTTTTTGCTTTTTTTTTATATGCATTCTCTTCATGTAGACGTAAAGTACAAATGGCATTATTTATTAACAATAATATAGAAGATGAAGAAAAATAAAATGCTGACTGGTAATAAATATAGATTTTTTTCCCCCTCTTATTATCATCATCAGACTTTTTTTGCTGTATATAGTATGCAGCACTATAGAATATGCATGTGCAGAGTAGCCTTTCATGGAAATGACTTACATTAAGGCAGTTTGTGGTCATGCATGTATATGAATTATGTATGTGCCAGTTCGTTGTGCACATGTAGTGGTGCTCTTTGGATCCCTGCATTAAAGGCTGATGCAGATGTATGCTTATGCTATCCGTAACCACTTTTAGCAATTCTTATTTAGATTTGACAAAGCACAAGTTCATTCATATGGGTTTCCGCATGTGTGCGTGTCAAAATTTGAAGGGTTGTTTGTACAGGAATTTATATCTGAAAATGCTGCTGCTGCAGCCCAAATGTAATGATTTTTAAAAGTGCCTTGAAGGGATACTCAATCCAAAAATGAATATACTGTTATCATTTACTCATCCACATGTCTTTCCAAACCATTATGCATTTATTTCTTCAGTGGAACACAAAAGAAAATATTTTGAACATATTACCATTTGCTTCCATTTTTTTATGGTTCACAGAGGAAGGTCATATCGTTTTGGAACAACTTGAGGACGAGTTGTAAATGATTATTTTATTTTGGGTGTTCACTTTTGCTCCAATAGCTAAAGAAAAAAAAAGAGCAAATATTGCCTAAAAGAGCAAATATTGAGAAATATCTACAGATTTGCTGTCACTCACTGAACAGCAGTGTTAGGGTATTTACAGTTAAGGACCCAAGGACCAGATATGATTTAATTAGGACTTGGAGTCAAGAGTGGAGTCAATTGAAGACAAGAGTCAGAATTATAATAAATTATACTAAAAAAGAAAAGTTTGACTGAAGATAGTTTGTAGTTTCATCTGGCAGAAGTCAGCTTCAAGACTCACAAGTTTCAAGACTCAGAAGAGTTCGTTGGCCGCCCTTCTTACAGTTACAAAGATCACAGCAATTATTCACCAAGGTCTCAGCTACATCCTTGCTTCAGGTTGAATGCTTCTGGTTGGCTAAAAAAAATAGATGAACATAGTAATTTTCCACACGTAAACGGATAGACTGAAGCATATCTCCATCAATTAGATGAC